TAAGTTCTAAAACTCTGCTTCGTCTCAAAACTATGATTATGGTCTGCAGCACGTCCATATGTGTAAGCACTTGGTAATAATTCACAACTCGCATGGGAATCCTGAAAGGGAAGAAGTCAGTTTCGTGGGCATTCTTAATTTCCTCATGAGGAAATTGTCCAATCAAAGCACAGACGCCGTCTGAGTTGGGACATATGCAGAGTCGGCAGGTATCCGTGATCAAAACAAGTCCCAACACTCATGGAGATGTAGATGTGTACGTGCAGGTTCTAACAGATGACTGCGCAGACAGAAACACGGCCTGATTCCATTAGCGATTTGACCCAAGAACTGCGTGTCACAGGAATTTGGAGAAGGAAAACACTTCTATTGCTCTTTTTTCTGCCAGGAATCGTGATTTGACGTTTTCCTTCGAGTAAAGCTCAGGTTTTCTTGCTTTCATTTCGCAGTATTGTATATTTTTTCCGTTTCCACGAGCCAGACCCGTGATGAGGGTCTTGAATTGGTCTCAGGCAACCCATGCTTATCGTAAAACTATCGGGATTGGGGGTCAGGCTCATAAAGACTGACTGACTGACTGAGTTTTACGCCGCTTTTAGCAATATTCCAGCAACATCACGGCGGGGGACACCAGAAATGGGCTTCACACATTGTGCCCATGTGGGGATTCGAACCCGGGTCTTCGGCGTGACGAGCCAACGCTTTAACCATTAGGCTACCCCACCGCCCCTTCATAAAGATATGAGCGAGAGGTGGTTGGCACGTTCTTAGTCTGTACGATTTATAGTACTTCCATAACAGATTGCATTTAAGTAAACGCCCTCCATACTTACAACCCCTGAAGATCCCGGGTAGAATTGATCTTCAGCAACCCAAGCTTGCCATAAGAGGCGACTAACGTGGTCAGGTTCGCTGACATGTTTGACACATGTATCCCAATTACGTAGATCGATGCTCATTATGTTGATCACTGGATTGTCAGGTCAAAACTCGATTATTTACAGACCGCTGCCACATAGCTGGAATATTGCTGAGTGCAGCGTTAAACAACAAATCAACCAACCAATCCTCCATACCAATACAGAACAAGGCAGAATATGTTTGCAGACATCGCTTGGTGTTCTGTTGTTTAAAATGGAAAAATATTTCTACCCCATTGTCATTAAGTATAGTATGACCAGAAATTATTGAGAATTTTAGGAATATGTTTAATTGGATCTCTGGTATAAACAACCTTGACCAGCTATCAAGTGCTTGGTTTCATTCAAGAGAGACAACTCCGTTAATCCTTTTTCATTAGTTTGTGAAGAGTTATCCCCCTTTGTTTACTTGCTAGCAGACGACATTTTCAGTGATACTCAGTATGGATGATTTAGAGAAGAGGAAGTTGAATTTAGAGTATTATAACAAGGACATCAGATCAGCTAAAGTGATTTCAAGTAGAACAGGCATCCCTTTGTCCACTGTTTATCGTGTTTTGAAAAATATTGCAACTGGATATGGCACTGAGCACCAGGGAGGCGCAGGTAGGCCCAGAAAATTGACTGTCGGTGACAGGAGGCGGCTTGGTATTCTTGTTTCTAAAAACAAACGAAGGAGTTTAGAAAACTTAAGGCTGGATATGATTGATAGAGGAACTGTGGCTGTCTGTAAGGAGACAATTAGAACTGAGCTGCATGCAATGGGTTGGCAGAAAAGTCGAGGAATTCCATCACCGATCATGAAACCTGAACAAAAGGAGCGAAGGTTGAACTGGTGCTTACAGCATAGAAATTTTAACTGGGACAATGTGATTTTCTCAGATGAAAGTTCTGTGTGGCTGTTTCCTAATACACTGAAATTCTGGACCAAACAAACTGAAAAACCTTTGAATCAGCCCCCAATGCACAGTCCGAAATGTAACGTGTGGGGTGGCATATCTGTGTTAGGGGCAGCGCCCCTCTGTGTATTTGAAGGGAATATGAACAGTGAGCAGTAGGAGTGAGCAGTGAGGGACATTTACTTCCATCTGCTCACGTGTTCTATGGATATTTTTTTATTTTCCAGCAGGACAACGACCCAAAACATCGTTCAAAGCATTCACAGGCCTGTTTTCGGACCCAAAATATGACATTATTAGATTGGCCAAGCTATAGCCCTGACCTAAATCCAATAGAAAATGTTTGGGGAAAGTGTCAATAAGAAAAATCTGACAAATATTGCTGAAATGAAAGAAGAGGTGGTCCGATATTGGGACAGCATGGACCACGACTTTCTAACTTCTTTGATCAGTAGTATGCCCCGCCGCATTGAAGCCTGCATTGCTGCCCATGGTGACTTGACAAAATACTAACTGTTCACCTGTCTTTGAATCTGGAGTTAGTTCTGCTAATATTCACATTTAATACGTGAGTAATGAGTGAATAAAAAAAAAATTACAATCTTAAATTTTCAATAATTTCTGGTTGTACTGTATATCCAACTAATTGGACAAACGCCATCCTTGATGACACGGTGTCATCGTTACTGGATGAAGTTTTTCCTTTGAAGCTGGTAGAAGGTGGGCGTGCAGTTTGAGATTGAGATCAAGAAGATGATCCAAGATACCGGAGACTGCCAAATGTCACCACTGATGAAATCAAGGCACTTCTCATGAGAAAGTTGAGAGCATTCTAATGAATGAACTGAGAATTACGAAGGTTTCGACACGCAGGGTTCAAAGGAATTTCAAGCATGCGATGACGTTGTGTCTCCAATGGAGACTTTGTACACCACCTGGAGGATACGAGAGTGAGATCAAGATACTCAGCATTGTTGGCAGAAGTGTTTGGCACTCAGAGGGAGTTACTTTGAAAATAATTAGGGACCGGTCACTTATTTGGGATGGGTATTGAGCTGAAATATATAAAAGATATATAAAATACTTCAGCACATATTGAAGATGTTCAAAGCGATCTTAAACCCGGTCACTCACTCATTTCAAAGTAGCCTGCAATGTCTCGTCGTGATCTGTATCTGTAACTTTGGTCTCGATGGCCTCGTGGTGAAAGGAGTCGCAGGGTTATGTCCCCTTTGCCGCGCCAGGATCCGAATACTCACAAATCATTACCCTCAGTTCAATCCGATACTCATTGGTTTCCTCATTGTTTTATATGTCTACCAACTACGTTTTTTGTCTTCATCTATTGTTGATTTGCTATAATACAATTTTGACGTACCTGGAAGATGACACGTTAATGAAAGTGGTGTTGAATTAGTTCCTCTTTTGGCCTCTTTTGAACCATATTATTGTTACATGGTTGCATGTGGAAGGACAGACCTAAGTGACGACATGGTGGTGAAAAAAATACTAGAAACTTATTTCGGCTGAACTGAGATTCGAACACGTGATCATAGGTTTTCTCGCAGGCTTCGCGGAAGCAGCCCTGCAACGTAAAACCTTGTTAGTTATTATTGTAAAAACCGAGTAGCTCATGATAAAACTTGATTTCTAGTTCGGATAGCTCTAAGCTTATGGGCAAACAGAAAATAGTGTATTGTGTTTGTTTCTATCTTGGTTTCTTTTGTTTCTGTTATTTTGTTGTTTTGTTTGATGTTTTGTTATTGGGAAGGGTTGTTTGTTTCTTTGTTTGTTTTGGGGAAGGTGGTGTTCGTATACGGATGGGGGGGAACAGGGTTTGTATTGGTTTGTAGTGATTCCGCGACTATTTTAAAACTACTTAATTATTAACGATGCCAAATCCATTTCTCAAGAGTATACGTCCTTTCACCCAAACTTTAACCATTTCGGCACAGTGTGATGGAGTTTGATCATGAATCATGCATGTCAAGATGTTGTACTAGTATTTTATATAAATTGCAAAGACGGCAGCAAGAACGTTTAGCGTTGACCGTGACCTCGAGAGAAGACATTTTACTACCGCTTCGCATAGTATATCGTATGTAGACACAACATGCCAAAAGTATTGCCTGAACATCCTGAAGCATCTTTTCTAGGTAACATAGGCGGATCCAGAAGGATCCAGACAGGTTAGAACTGGTCTTCAACAACCCAGGCTTGTCACATGAGGCGACTAACGGGATCGGGTACTCGGTGCTAAACAACAAACAAATCAACTTGAACCCAGTATAGGAATAATACAGTCTTTCCCGGAAAGCGATGAAGTTCAATCTTGTAACATCTATCAATAATCAAAAGAAGAAAAGATATGGTTTTCGTCCTGCATAACCTGTGACACAATATTTAGTCGAAAATTGACAGAAAATGCAAGAATGCTCAGCTGACTGGATTAGTTGATTGGTGCGGATAGGAATGCTTAGCTCATTTTATCAGGAAACCAGTTTTACAAATATCTCAAAGGGCATAACCTTTATTTTAGCTGCGTATCAACGAATGATTGTTGAAAGTCAAAACAAATTCTCACTAGAACGATAAATCAAATGCACAGGCATGTTTTCTAAATGGTACGGGGACGGTGGGGTAGCCTTGTGGTCAAAGCGTTCGCTCGTCACGCCGAAGGCCACGGTTCGATTCCCCACAATAGTACAATGTGTGAAGTTGATTTCTGGTAATATTGCTGGAATATTTCTTAAAAACGGCGTAAAACCATACTCGCTCAGTCACCCACTCACGCAGCGGTCGGTGTGGTTTTCTGTTCTCGCATAATTTCCGTTGCAGGTTAAGTCCCAATCTGGTTATAAGCGTCACTCTTCTTCGTTTCTTAAAGAACACCACTTTGTCTCTGATTGCTATAAAATCCTATCTTTATGTTCGACATCACGTAATTGGACAAGTATTCTCTAAGCGGAGATTTGACATCTGCAGGTCAGTAGTTTGTGCCATGACGTCACTTCCGTCTTTGATCTCGAACCAGGAGAATGAAGTACTCACGGCTTCAATCGTCTTTGTTCTGCTGTAGAGCCAGGCCACCACAGCTGTCATTAGTGGAATTAGGAGTAAGTCCCATATGAACACGTTATTTGATAATAATTTAATTCTCGATTCGCTTTTTATGTTTTAGGTAAAGATGTAAGCGGCCTCAAGGCGTACCAGTGTTCTTCCGACTGGTGGGATCACTCCGCTGTAATTGGTGAGTGTCAACAGGCCGCTTTGCTTGTACGTCCCGCGCAATTAAATCCGACACGAAAATGAGATCCTTGGAAGATCTAGTATATGGATCATTAAGAATCTGTTTACTAATAACGTGATTATAAACACGTAAATGTCACATCTGAAAAACATGTGATTAGTAAATTCCTCGGAGGTTAGGACATCGATTGCATGGTGTCGGGGAAGGCAGGTAACGATTTAACATCTGTCCGATGGATAATGACTTTTTTTCTCTTTTGGGGGCGGTGGGGTAGCCTAGTGGTCAAATCGTTCGCTCGTCACGCCGAAGACCTGGGTTCGATTACCAACATGGGTACAATGTGTGAAGCCCATTTCTGGTGTCCCCCGCCGTGATATTGCTGAGATATTGCAAAAAGCTGCGTAAAACTCAGTCACTCACTCTTTCTATTTTGTCAGATCCGTTATTTTCCTACAATGATACCCAGATTGTTTAAAATATGTCTAAGGTTCGATGGGGGTAGCCTCAAGGTTAAAGCGTTCGCTCGTCACGCCCAAGATCTGGGTTCGATTCCCTACATGGGTACCATGTGTGAAGCCCATTTCTGGTGTCCCCCGCCATAATATTGCTGGAATATTGCTAAAAGCGGCGTAAAACCAAATTAAACTCACTCACTCACTTCAAATATGTCTATATTTATGTCTTTTTGGTTTCAGCGGAGCTGTTGTTTTTACTGTGGGGCGTGAGGCTGTGTATAGTCGTACGGAAAGCACCGTCAGAGTTCAACGAGAGTCGTTTTATAAGCTGGGCAATATACAACGAATTTCTACTTTCTTTATTTCTCAATGTGTCAATGTAAGTTCAAAGTTTAATACATATATAACATTCTGATGAAATATTTATTGAATTTCTGACGCAATAGCCGCAGAAGTCGATAGAGTGCCGATCTCAGTTAGGGACGTTGGGGTAGCCTAGTGGTTAAATCGTTCGCTTGTCACGCCGAAGACCAGGGTTCGATTCCCCACGTGGGTACAATTTGTGAAGCCCATTTCTGGTGTACCCAGCCGTGATATTGCGGGGATGTTGCCATAAGCGGCGTAAAACTAAACTCACCCACGTTCTCAGTTAATCTCTGACATAGTCATTGTTTTGAGGCGCCGCAGTTGTGTCCCTTTGCTGTGAAGGAACACTTGACTGTGAGATTGAATCTCAAATCTGTATAGTTGGCGATCTGTGCACATTCGACACTCCTCTCGCTTTAATGGGACTCATGATATGTTGTCATGAAATAGTGGTAAAAAACTACTTTTACTTCATAGAAAAGGTAATAATCGATCTATTTCAGAAAAATAAAATAAATGAGGCTACCAAATAACTATTGTTAACTGAAATGACTGCAGGAACGTTTTCCAAATTTGCGGTGGCATTTTTCTTAAACGTATTAAATATTTTTACTTCAGAAATTGTTCGGAGTTTAATATGTTCCATATGCGTTTAAGTGACAAGTTCACATAGATTCATAGACGAATGTAAAGTATGGTATTTCAGTATATTAAACACTCACTTGCCATATTTCTGCTAAAAAGGAAGTGGAACAATCCAGTGAGTGAGTTTTCTCCTAAAAGGTAAACACCAAGCTCAAGATGAGATGCAAAACTTTATTGCATATGGTTCTCCTTGTGGCGTGATGTACTTTGGTGTCAGGAAATGTGACGGAAATTTGAAAATAAAACCTAAATCTGAGATAATTTAAACATAATCTAGTGTCAGTTTTTCACCAAATTAGAGCAAAAATAATACCTCTAATATGGCAAGCCAATCGATTACTCCATACATGAGTGTCTCTTTTTGCAGTATCAATTTTCAAATCCTAATGCTCTTTTGTATCGAGTTACTTAAACATATCATTATCATCTGCAACCGGGCAGAAGATGGGTGTGCTTTATGAGCCCATGTGCGTAAGATGTCACCCTCAAGGTCACCAAAGCTCTTAAACCAAGTGCGCCCTCGTTAGGGCCTTCCTCTGTCACCTGCAGCCCATTGCAAATCACTGAACATTTGCAGGTCCCTTGGGATTTCAGCGAACTTCTGTGGGCCTTTGGGACCAGCTGACAATAGTCCACTGAGCTAGATCCGTTTTCCAAAGATGGATCCGTGAAGATGCGGGTTAGAATTGTTTTCAGCAGCCCATGCTTGTAAAGGTCGACTAACGGGATTGGGTGGTCAGGCTCGCTGACCAGGTTGATGAGTGCCATCGTCGATGTAGCCTTGCATAAAAATTAATAGTTTAAATGATAGGTAAAAAATAATAGTTTAAATGATAGGCAAAAATCAATAGTTTAAATGATAGGTAAAAATTAATAGTTTAAATGATAGTTTCTAAAAAATAATAAATAACAGACTGAGGTCCTTCTACTGTCCGCTTACCGAGACTTGCCTCTTTAAATGATAGAAGTACTGTACTATACATCCATGGGCTTAGCATTCAGTACAGCCTTGGAGCAAGGCTAAGGTCGATGCTAACCTGGTTCAGACTGGTTCAGACTTGATGATTTTCAAACCTCAGTAATATAGCCTTAATGTTGAAGCGGTGTTAAATAAGAAACAAACAAAACGATTGTATTACGATGATTTTAACTCTATGTTAACTCTATGGGAATTCGAGAGACGAGCGCTATGCCCGTCTTGTTAGAAGGGCCTTGAGGTTTGAAAGTTAATGCACATATCACTATGTTCTAACTAACAGCCATCACAAATTTAAACTGACCATTGCTTTACCGTCATAATTGTGAGGACCTTGGGATGGTGGGTATACAGATGTGAAACGTCGTCTTCACCACGACGTTGACCCCATCATAGCCGAGCATTCGTCAGCATATTTTTCAGTCTTTACGTCGCATCATATCTTTTCAAGTCAAGTACTATTAGTCTTCACTAACCCATGCTTGTCGTAAGAGGCGACTAACGGGATCGGGTGGTCAGGCTCGCTGTCTTGGTTGACACATATCATCGTATCAATGCTCGTGCTGTCAATCACCTGATTATTGACGAATATTGACGAAACTTGCGTCATCCACTCTCTTATTCTTCGTTATTTAGTAATTATTAATATGATAACTAATACGTGTTTTTTTTATTTCAGGATATTTTTGAAAGATCCCTTCCCAACCAACCCTGACCTGTTGTATTTAGTGGTGTTTATTCATACCCAGCTGACGACCACGGTCACCTTGGCATTCCTCTTTGGTAGCAAGGTAAGTGATCAACGTCATTTGGTCTACCAGGAACGACATACTCGAGGAGTACCTGACCCTATTTGCTATTATTTGGCTTCCTAGTTTGTTAGCACCAACCCTTACGGACCAGTCCTTTAAAGCGCTGCAATTTCCTGTGCAGAGTTGCCTCCCTTGGACACGCCAAAATCCTATCATAGTGAGTTCAAGTCCCAGTTCGCCTTCATTATGGTTCCTGCTTTGCAGAGGAGCCAACCCGTTCGGTTGTTTCGTTGTTGTTACGGTTTTATACTAAAAAATACGACAGTGCGATCATCCAAAGTAGGAATTTCTTATATTTGGTACATGTGAATTTTTGTAATATCATGAGTACAATGTTGGAGATTCAATTGCGTAAACGTCATTAATAACACTTCCGTGTTGAACATACTCACGATGTCCGATTCTCAGTTTAATATGTAAAGCTGCATAAGCAGTGAAGGGTAAATAGCACACAAGAACTGATAGGCAGGAATCCCCAAGAATACACCCAATTAGAAAAACGAATGCTTCTGGTGCAATTGCAAATTTGATCAATCAAGTTACTACTAAAGTTTGTAATATACCCTTCTATAACATAACAGACATGCTATTACTGTTGGAATTCATATTGACCGTTATGTGTGTGAATGTTGTGAAAATAGTGTTTTTTCAAAGCAATTTTTCTATTTACAGCTTAAAAGGGTTCGCAACTCTGAACGGTCTGTCAGCACCACGTGTGCCCGTTGGTTTTACCAAAGTCTTTAAATCCAGCATCGCCAGTACTTTAATCAAAGTTACAGCAAACTAACTCACACACTCTCAGATAAACTCGGTTATTACAATGAAAATGGTTTGAAAAATAAACTTTAAGGCACTATTTTAAACCACACTTCCCTTAAAAAAAAATCATGCATTTCTCTCAATAATACCAATTATCAGCCCTCAGGGAAGCTACCATATAATTTATTCCCGAAAACATTTACGTATTCAGATTACGATATTAAATTAAAAAGTGGGAATGAATTAATGCAACATTGCTTTAAATCGACTTTCGCGCCCTCTACCGGCTGAACATTATTTCAAGCGAACCCCATAGAGTTATGTCCCTTTTAGCCCTATCTACGAATATTCTATAACGCCTTTGGAGTCAGAACTCAGTTCTAGATACACAAAAAATACGCGCAAATTGTGATTGAAACACCGCGTGCGACAGTTTTCGATGTACGGAGCAATTGTTTACGTTCCAAATATCATTCGTAACTACTCGCCTCTTTCCGTGACCTACAAGAAGACTCGTACTTCTATCGTACGCCATTATTGTCAAGAATCGTGGCAAACCAATCAAATCGCGCATAGTAAACCGCATTTCGAAGCATTTAAATGGCAGCACCGTTGAACTTTGAAACTTCGCTAGCTATGCAAAGCACAATTTTATACATAAACTTTGAGCTAGAGGATCAGCAACTCTCAACACAGAAACATGCTTGAATGACTGTATATTTGTTTTGTCCACGGGATATAGCTATAGGGTATTCTTGGAGTAGCCATGTTTGGAAATTCATAGTTATCTTTCCTTGGTACAAGTACTAGACTATTTTCATCTCCGTGCCCGTTTGCGCTTAGACAGGGCCTAGTCGTAAACATGACCACGATAGGGGTACGAAACGCCATTCGGCTTGCCGGAATGACACGAGTAGTTACGAATGTCCAAATAAAGCAAGTGTTCCCTGTTTGGAAGCTGTTCGCCTCAAAGTTTCAATTATCGATTTCATTTTACAACATTTACATTTTATGGGGTTTTTTCCACAGTGCTACCTTGTGCTTAAGTCCAGTTCTGGCGCAAAAGAACAGCAAAACCAACAACAATCAACAATGCTGAGTAGGGGCTCCAAATACACCCTCGGGACCAAGCCAGCAACTGCTATGACAAACACAGCTTCTTCAAACGGATATGGAGACCGTGTTGACGAGGCAGAGTGCGAGAGTTTTCTTGAGAAGGATATACAGGTAGTTGTCTTGGATAAGGACTTAAAGGTACTTAGATTGGATCTCAGGGTACACCTTCATAATGTCCGCATCGTTAATGCATCTGCTTGCGTAATGTGATTGCGATAAACACTTATATCTCACTGCTTGAATACCCGTGAAGATCCGGGTTAGAATATTGATCTTCAGCAACCCATGCTTGTCGTAAGAGGCGACTAACGGGATCGGGTGGTCAGGCTCGCTGACTTGGTTGACACATGTCATCGGTTCCCAAGTGCGCACATCGATGCTCATGCTGTTGATCACTGGATTGTCGGGTCCAGACTCGATTATTTACAGACCGCCGCCATATAGCTGGCATATTGCGGCGTAAAACTAAACTCACTCACTCACTGCTTGAAGCACAGCTAAAGGCTCTTGTCGAATGAACATCGTCATGTGATCACGTGCAGTACATTTGCATATTCAAGCACGTACATTACAAATTTGTGTTGTGCTGTAAGAATGAGAGCTCGTGTAATATACTACCTACATTGAGACAAGAAACCGTTGACGTAATTTTTTTATGTGGAGGGATATGACTATTGAAATAGGTTCATGGTACATGAACACTTCGTAAGAACGCGCCCTGCTCCGCGGAAAACATTTCCGCTTCGCCGAGCCATTCACCGATCGTGTTCCCGTGAAGATCCGGGTTAGAATTGTTCTTCAGCAACCCATGCTTGTCGTAAGAGGCGACCAACGGGATCGCGTGGTCAGGCTCACTGACTTGGTTGACACATGTCATCGTATCCTAATTGCGTAGTTTGATGCTCATGCTATTGATCACTGGATTGTTTGGTCCAGCCTCGAGTATTTACAGACCGCCGCCATATAGCTGGAATATTGCTGAGTGCGGCGTTAAACAGCAAACCAACCAACCAACAAACACTGATCTTGCAAAGATTTACAGAATACAAACAGTTGTCAGTGAAGGATTTTCGCTGTTCAAGATGACATGTTTGTTGTTCTCGTATATATGGGAAGTTTATTTATGTTCCTGTAATACTTTACCCCTTAAAGGTTGGCTTATTGAAACTCATTGACGTCAACACAACAGAGACGATAGGTCATTTCTGCTAAAAAAATATGCCTCTGAAATGACCCATGGCTATTATAAGCTATTGCTAGCACATGCCCGCGACGTCACGTGTAGGAAATAGAACTTACCCTGAAAGGTCCTTCTAAGTACTACCAACACCCACTCAATGTCACTTTCAAGTTCCTGTAGGTATGCATATGGGTTGTTCAGTAGCCTTCCCACTTCACACACTTCACCATGATATTCCTCTGGTATTACTGAAAAAGGCGTAAAGTAATACCTACTCTCTAGCTCATGTAACGCTCCTTGTACATGGTCTCTGTGCATATTAACACTAACTCGCTCTATAATTCGCAGCTCTCAGTAGGTATTAACATTGACTACATGTAACCTGTTAGCTCGCTGTAGGTGTTAACACTGATTACATGTAGCCCTGCCAGCTCTCAGTAGGTATTGACACTGACTACATGTAACCACTGTCAGTAGGTATTAACACAGATTACATGTAACTTGTTAGCTCCCTGTAGGTATTAACACTGTCAGCTCTCAGTAGGTATTGGCACTGACTACATGTAACCCTGCCAGCTGTTAGTAGGTATTAACACTGATAACATGTAACACTGCCGGCTCTCAGTAGGTATTAACACTGATTATATGTAACTTGTTAGCTCCCTGTAGGTATTAACACTGTCAGCTCTCAGTAGGTATTGGCACTGACTACATGTAACCCTGCCAGCTGTCAGTAGGTATTAACACTGATTACATGTAACACTGCCAGCTGTCAGTAGGTATTAACACTGATTACATGTAACCCTGCCAGCTCTCAGTAGGTGTTAACACAGATTGCATGTAACCACTATCAGCTCAGTAGGTGTTAACACTGATTCAGCTCTCAGTAGGTATTTACACTGACTACATGTAACCACTGTCAGTAGGTATTAACACAGATTACATGTAACCCTGCCAGCTCTCAGTAGGTATTAACACAGATTACATGTAACCCTGCCAGCTGTCAGTAGGTATTGACACTACCTACATGTAACCCTGCCAGATCTCAGTTGGTGTTAACACTGACCAGTAACCCTGCCAGCTCTCAGTAGGAATTAACACTGCCTACATGTAACCCTGCCAGCTCTCAGTAGGTATTAACACTGATTACATGTAACCCTGCCAGCTCTCAGTAGGTGTTAACACTGATTACATGTAACCCTGCCAGCTCTCATGTAACCCTGCCAGGTAGGTATTAACACAGCCAGCTCTCAGTAGGTATTAACACTGATTACATGTGACCCTGCCAGGTGTCAGTAGGTGTTGACACAGATTACATGTGACCCTGCCAGCTCGCAGTAGGTATTAACTCTGCCTATATGTAACCCTTTGAGATCTCAGTATGTATTAACACTGACTATATGTAACTACCACCTCTCAGTAGGTATTAACACTGATTACATGTAACCCTGCCAGCTCTCAGTAGGTATTAACCCTGTCTACATGTAACCCTGCCAGCTCTCAGTAGGTACGTACACTGTTGATGTGTCCTGTTTCAGGAGGAGTTCAAAAGGCTGTACATGCAGCTGGAGACCCTGAAACAGCGAAACATGAAGATAGGCAACCGCCACCTCCAATACAAGCTGTCCGCCATGACAGAGGCCGCTCAGAAGGATGACCTCCCAGACTCCACACCCTCTACGCCCAATCTTAACGGCAAGAGGATTATAATCAATCTGGACGACTACCATGAATCTACCAACGTATAGCGAAAGTTGTGTATCTCATGTATTCGATGCAATAGTGTTTGTGTATGTACAGACAATATCTGCAATGTCTTCGAGTATGCCAGGAGAAGCGGAAGTGTTTTTATTTAGAATTATGAAGACCGAAGCGTTTTGTGCACACGTTGAAACGCTTCATTCAGTATGAATGGATGAGTGAATGACGTTTGCCGTGACCTTCGCCACGACGTACAGGCGACTCCAGTATTGTTCAATTTCGAGGAATTATTACCTTGTCATTTTGCCACGGTTTTCTTTTGTGTGTGAATGCTTGGTACCGAACACGAAATGCGTTGTCCCAACGAAAAACGCCAGTGAGTGGTTGCTTGCGATGTCACATTAAACGCGTTGCCCCAGCGAAAACAACGCGTGTGTGACTGCTTGCGATCTCCCACTAAGTGCGTCGTCCCAACGAAAACGCCAGTGTGGATGGGTGTGACCTCCCACGAAACGCGTCATACCAACGATTGACGCCCGTGGGTTGTCACATATTTACGAGTTCTCTGCATCTTTGCTTCCACGGTACTGATGGGTACCAGCCAGTGCCACCTATTGCTCAACATGATGTAGACATGAAGATACCAACTTCACGCACCTCCAGCTCCGACCCCTCAGCTGAATGCGTGGAAATCTAGCTTGAGCACGATACATCCGAGTGTATTAGCACCGTACAGGTAGATGGTTGGTTTGTTCTGTTACCTGCGATATATAACAACGTATTGGACTGAAGACACTGCTCCAAGATTACACCTGTGTCGTTAGGGGTGTGACAATTAAAGCACAATTTATACCTTCTCAGGCAGATACACTGCTTGAATTATCCACAGTGGCCATACAGCCAACGAAGTCCGGATTCTTTGTGAATGACCTTGAGAATAGTAGTTCGCCTTTTCCAGATACAATCTCAACCTTGACCTTCTCAAAACATGTAAAATGCAACTAGACCTAAGTAACCGAACCTCATGATTCAAGACACTGATCTCAATTCTATGTAACGTTCAGCTATTCAGGACCTGCCTCTATTTGATATTGAAAAGAAGGGCATTTGATTCGCCCTCATCAAGTTAACAGTCGTGTAATGGAAAATGATCCAAGGTCTGGGCTGAGGTCATTGTTGTGTTCCTATCATAGTTTCATTGCATGAACTCTAACGTCATCAATACTTCTCGAAGGTATGTATGTATACCACGTTCTTCAATCACGTTCTGCAAACACACAGTCGATTTGTCACGTTTCTATTCTAGTCAACCAATTAATGGAGTCCTGACATTGAAGCATTGTGTAGAGATGATCACAAGGCCGATGTAATTTGAGCACTCATTGGTCTAAATATTTCTGAAAGAGACCTGGACCCAGATTTTCGAAGCTCTCCTAGTGTTAAGATGGCCGTAAGTGCCATACATTAACATTAACTTACGACTATCTTAGCTCTAACAGAGCTTCGAAATCTAGGCCCTGCGGTTCAATCGTCACATGACACCATAGAGGCTGTTTGAATTCACGGGTGATTGAGGAACGTGGTGTATGAACATGTTTGGGGGTTATTGATGACGTAACTCTAACGAAATCTCATCTGTGTCCTTTACGTCAGTTGTTGAACTGGTGCTGAATATATCTATCACTTTCAAGTCATATGTATAACCTACTGATTTTTCAGGAAGTTTGTGTTGGCATGCTCCTTCACAGCAAATACTCAACCCTGAATATGCGTCAGTAGATTCGTGTGTGTTACGAATGAACGAGAGACAATACCATTTCTGTTAATACTATGTATTATTAAGGAGCTGCATGTGTAAATATAGCCTTGACCTTAGCAATGACAGTACAAGTGTGTAATCTTGTTTTTAGTCAATAAATGCACTTAAATATGCATTAATGCATTAATTTTGATACCCATGTCAATTGAGCACCGCTAGTCCAGTATTGATTTAACCATGTCCCACCGTGTGTATTATACTGTTTTGCTTTGTTATACAAACGTCTGTTAAGAAACACCAACGAGTAAGACTTCAAATAATAAAAGTTGGTATATTAGCCTCAAGTAGTCCGCTCTTCCGAATGGCAGTGTTACTTTTGTGAACTACACTACTCGTATTTGGTTAGGGATACAAAGAAGCTCCACGTGCAACGTTAAGACAGCGATGGTGCAGTGTCCTGAGTGACGTCGTGAATGACCTTCACACCATGGGCTCATCCGATAACTCGAGATGACACCACGTGTGTGATACGCTAACACTGGGTTCCGTCTTCCCCAACGACCCCTTTCCAAAACGATAACACCTGTCATTAATCCTCATTCCTCAGTGTGTGAAGGCGAAGGTCATCTACCACGTCGGTTAACGTTATGCGGACTTCATTATTAATTGACGTATCCTTAATGAAAGACGAGGAAACTACACCCTGGTGACAAAATCAAAACACTTTAACAGCTGAAGCCTTAATATATGCTTTAACTGTTACACAATAACTGTCAAAAAAGGTGCTATTTTGATGGAACTCACGAAAGCCCTGCAAGCTTTATGCTTCAATTCTGAAATCGTACAGCACGTTAGTGCCACAGCCAAATGGTAGTCTATCCGCCGTCTATCCATGTCTGGATTAAACATGTAACGATCTGCGAGGCACGACAAGAAGCCGCGATGAAAGTATCCGTGAACTAACGATGGTTCGCCGTTATTATCTGTTATTAAATAACATTGTTGGTTGAGAAGAATTTATTTACGTTTTGTCATATGAAAGTATCCATTGTTTGTTGCCAGTGTTGTTTGCCTTCATCCTCCCAATGTACTATACTCATCATCATGTTGACACATCATTGTATGCAATTCTCACCACTGTATATAAAGACGCATTCTCAAATAAAGGATTTTGTTTTTCAGAGTTTCAGTTTTGTTATTATTGAACAAAAGTGAGCGTCTTTAGAAACGTTCCAGCAATACCAGGGCCCCGTTCCTCAAAGCGATCGTAGCGCTACGACAGTCGTACGTCTATGTTAAAATATTGGAGTTACGATCATCTTAGCGCTACGATCTTTTGAGGAACGGGGCCCAGGGCCTAGATTTTCGAAGCTCTCTCAGAGTTAAGATGATCGTAAGTGCTATTCATTAACATTAACTTACGCTAAGAGAGCTTCGAAAATCTAGGCCCAGGACTGGAGATGTTGACGTCACACATTGCACAGTACCAGGAAAGGGGAATCGAACCTGGGACTTCGGCGTGATAGGCGAACACTGTAACAACTATGCTACCCCATCGCAAAGCAACGAGCAAACGCTTTCACCACTTGGCCATGCTGGTGATTCATGAACCTAAGGGTTGACACTTTTTATCGCCGTTTTCGCAGTCGCATCTTTGATATGAAAGTTGCACCCAAAATGGATCAGTTTAGTTCAAAGCTGCTTTGAACTACAATCTTCAAAAGAAAAAAGAAACGCACAGTAGTTCATTTCGATATATTTTGACAGCAATCGTCATTAAACCCATTTCTATGTTTGACTCCCATTAATCATGTCGTGTTTGTTGTGTATTGCGTGCAAACGCATCCCAAAATGAGTGAGTGAGTTAATATTTAACGTCACATCGGCAATATTTCAGCCATATCGTGACGAGATCATGTTTGTCATTGAAATGGAATATGTGTATATTATAAAAACCTGTCGTCAAAGGACAGTAAAACAACTAGCATATCACAATTACAAAGTGTGGAAAGTTAAAAGTAATAGCACTATTTGGACAATACAATATAAAACAGGCTATAGATTGCCAACAACTGAAGGTAGATCACCATACTAGGGACCATGGGGACTAACAGTACATTTGCTTCCTGCATGGGCGCATCCCAAAATGTGTTTGTAAAAGTTTGTCATAAAAAATGAGAACGATACATGAAAAGTGTATGCAGAAAATCTTTTCCACGTAATGCATGTACAATGTGTTGGAAACATGAGTTGAGACATCGTCTGTAAAAGGCCAAACCTAATGCATCATTTCATTACGAAATTTATGACGTAAACGAAGATAAAAAATGCCAAAATTAAATGCAACTGACCGAAATATTGCCATTGGACGTGTGGAAGCAGGGGAGTCCCAGTCTGTCATTGTCGACACATCAGTGTCCACCACAGCACCAAATCTCGATTATGATATCAATATACTCGCTTCAATTCGAACCAAGATCATCCCAGAAGTGGGAGACAAAGAGGAACCACTCCTGCTGAGAACCGACTCATCCGGGTGTTTCACCAACGTCACCGATTTGCTACAGCAACGAGTACTGCAGGACAGGTGCCTGGTCTTCGAAGAATTTCCAATCAAACCATCAGAAATCGTCTGAGAGAAGTGGGAATTCGAACATATCGACCAAAAGTTGAACCTGTCCTGACACGGCGTATCCAGTGGTGCAACAGGGTACCGGTATGGAACCTGGGGAACTGGCGACGAGTTTGTATATTTCATGCCATGACTCGATCGCCTTTCCTTCTGCAACGACGGGATGGAAGACAACGTGTCTATCGACGTCGACATCCAGTGGAGGGAAAACAAACGACCTGAGCTGAGCTTTGCGCCGAACTGCGTTCGACAGGTGGACAGATTTGGTGGCGAAAGCGTCGTGGCGTGGGGAGCCATGTCCTACACGGGTAGATCAGAGCTAGTGGTGATTCAAGGAAATCTTACAGCAGACTCGATTATTCACAGACTGCCACCATATAGCTGGAATATTGCTGAGGGCGGCTAACCAACCAACCTGATCAAAAGTCTAACATAGTGAATGGAGTGGAACTACGGGATCCTGCCAGAGCGAACGCTTTACCAACTAGGCCACACTACCACCCTCCCGACATGGCCACAGACTGCGGTGTAAAACAACATTCAGTTACTGGTTATATATCAATACAATTCCGTTAGAATTATCTAGAATGCATGCTCCTCGAATAATCTACCCAATACAGCATTGAGACAGAATGCAGCATCAACTTCACGTCACTTGTGTCATCCGTCACATCATCTGATCACTGACGTCACCATTCCGTATAACCACGTCACCACATCAATCAACGATCACACCATCGCCACATCCCCTCGGCACCTCCACACACAAACTATGGAAATTTATGCCATGCCAGAAATGCCATGCAAGGAAGTCAATGAGCGCAATATACGAGAACAGCGTAACTTCCTTGTGGAACCATGCATAGGATTAATGTTATGTCAGTCAAAACACAGTACTTAGTTTGTCGTAAATTTCAGCACCATTTCCATTAGAAATACATCGTTGGCAAAAGCTGTTAGGATCTATAACTGTCAATATTATTTCCTTTCCTTTCAAAATTTGATAATTCAAACACGACACATTTCTCCTCATGTTAAACTTCGAGATTTATGGGGATATAATTCACTCAATAAAAATGTGTCTATTAATCCCCATCGAAAAGCTGACAGAACTATTTCCTATCGGACTTAAAGAAAATGATAATACCCTTTATTACGGTCCTAAATCGAAATTCCAATATTCCAAAGTAGCGGAACCAATCGATTGACAGTGCTTTATACGCCAAAGCGTAGTTATGGATAGTTCTGAAAGACGAAACTGCCGTAGCCAATCATGCATAACTTTATTAATTTATCAAGCAAAAATATTCTCTTTCCAACTGAACCTCTCAGTCATATTCTTACCCACGCTGAGATTTGTTTATTAGGAATATTGCCATAATACATGAAAAACAGAAATAATACAATACTCTTGACCGTAACCTTCTCAGCGAACTGCCCTCTTGACACCCACACGGCCTTCCGAAAACAAGCATTTCCTTTTTGGGCCCAGGTGGGTATAAAATCACATCCCCTCTTATACTGGTTTTGGTTTGGTTTGTTGTTTTACGCCGCACTCTTGCTATATGGCGGTGGTCTGTAAAAAATCGAGTCTGTACCAGACAATCCAGTGATCAACAGCATTAGCATTGATCTACACAAATGGGATACGATGATATATTGTCAACTAAGTCAGTGAACCTGACCACCCGATCCCGTTAGTCGCCTGTTACGACAAGCATGGGTTGCTGAAGACAAATTCCAACCCGGATCTTCAAGGGTATCTTAAATACAGGGAGTCCTGGGGTAGTGATATCTAACACCAGCTTGGAGACGAAATCTACACTCATTTATGACAGCTGACAGAGTGTTGGTTTGGGACCGGTCTCTTTTCTGCCAAAACACAGGATATGACTTGTTTGGCTTGAGACGTGTGAGCCACGGATATTCTCATCATCGTGCAGGTCATTGAGAACGGGCTTGTGAACATTTTTAGAGCTCACTCAGCGGGTTCCAAGCATTAACAAACAAACACACCAAAAAACATCCTAAACGAATAAACGAAATACTAAAAAGCACTCAGGATCTAAACGCCTTCAGCAAAAAGGTAGAGTTCATATGAGTGAGTGAGTGAGTGAGTATGGTTTAACGCCGCTTTTAGCAATATTCCAGCAATATCACGGCGGGGGGACACCAGAAATGGGCTTCACACACTGTACCCATGTGGGGAATCGAACCCGGGCCTTCGGCGTGACGAGTCAACGCTTTAACTACTAGGCTACCCCACCGCCCCTAGAGTTCATATGGATCCAAGCCCATGCTGGTGTGTTTGGCAACACACATGCCGACCAAGCAGCCAAAGCGGCTCTTACAGCCTATCAAGACTAAAATTCTTCCAAAAGTTGCAAAGCGCAAATTTCAAATTCTAAACTAAAACATGAACTAAAAAAACAACTAAAACCACCGTATAAAATCTACCATTAATCTGAAAACACTGACAGGGTGATAACCAAATTACAAACAGGCCATAGAAAATTAAATTCTAATCTACATAAAACACACCAAGCAGACAAGTGCACCCACTGCAGCAAAACAGAGACGCCCGATCACGTCCTTCTCTGCAAACACTACCAACAACACTGAATGGTGCTCCAGAGCTCTCTGGACACCAAACACACCTAACACAACAAAGACTCCTGACTCACAATGCTTGTGAAAATGTACATCACTTCCTATTAGAATGTAGACTGTACAGCATTCAAAGAGAGATATTAATGTTAAATATTAAAAATATTGTAAAACGTGATTCTCCAATCACATTGTCGCTGATGTTACTTGGAAGTCCTGACCTGACTATTCAACAGAATGAATGCATTTTCAAATGTGTACAAACTTTTATTCATCAATCAAAACGTTTTGAGTGATCACATAAGTCGTGTCCCTTCCTCTCTTCTACCTTCCTATCTCTTCTCTGTATTCTTTCCTAAGATGTACATAATTGAAATTGTATGTATGAAAATATTAGGGAGCGGGTATTTTAAGTTGGATAACTTATCCCCAATACCTTCACATTTGTGAATAAAATATGTTTAAATCACTCCTGAGCCCAATAAAACGACCCAAACTTCCAAAGCTTTAGGTATATATCTATTCAAAACTAATCACCTAGGTCGCATATAATCCCACATAACCAATTAGTACCAATATAAAAAACATGAAACACTCTACTGTGAAAAAAACTCACACAAAAAAGACACATACCAACCAAACCACACAGTAGTTCAGCTCCCTTTACCACTTCTGGCAAATTTACAAATTCAGAATCCATACAACACTTACAGCTTGTTTAGCTTGACCTGAGCTACTCGACATATGCATGACCCGGGAGGTCAAATGACGCAAACGGCAGGTCGAGTTAACTTTTTTAAATAGGGGAGCAGAGAATGTTATTAATGTTAAGCCCGAATCGGAAACATTAAACCACATGTAGCTTCTTTTTTAAGTTTCAAAGAAAGTTAGGACATTGCTGATTTCTCGACACTGAAATGTCAAACGGCGACCTTGTCTCGG